CCTGGTCCGGTGAGAACCCGGCGTGCTCCGTCCCGGCTTTGTAGGGATGCGAGGTCAATGGTCTAACGACTACGGCATGCACGACTATGAGTACCCCCCCCCCCCGGCCCCCCACTACCGTCCTGCTGCACCCAAAAACGTCTTCCGCAGGAGGCGGAGGCTGCGCCGTAACCATCCTGTCGGGCGAAGACCTCTGCAAGGCGTCCCTGGTGGAAGCGATGCTTGGGGAGGGCTTCAAGTGCTACGAGACTTCGATCGGAGGGGACGGTGTGTTGTTCCACGGGGACGCCGTTCCCCCGCCGTTCGTTGCGACGGCGGCAGCGGCGGCCGCGGCAGCCCCAGCAGCGGTTGCTATGGGCGGCGATGGGGTAGAGATAGAAGGTGGAGGATGCAGCATGTTTTTAGGTGGAGTTCCTGCGGGGGACCGGGAAGGGACCGGGTTGGGAGTCGCGGCGGCGGCGGTGGCGGTGGTGATCGCTGCTGCCGTCCCCATTTTCTTGGGGTGGAGGGGCTTGCGGTACTACTGAGATAGGAGGTCGGCCCAACGTTGGTCGGCCGTGGTTGTCGGGTGGAGACTAGTCGGTGCAGCGTGAGTGTGTCTGTGTGCAGTTAATAGCATCGACCGAGCTAGCTGGCTGACCATGAAATGAAAGTACTTCAGTCTGTCTCATCACGAGTGTGTGTGTGCTGGATTTTGCCCCCTTGCTTGTTTTGTAGTCTACTGAAGTGTCTGGCTTGTTGTTGAGACTGTGAGGCTTGCTTGCCTCCGGAGGTGCGATCAAGTTGAAATCAAGAGGTTCGGCCGACGAAGGCAGTGTTTTGTGTACAATAGCTTATGATTATGGTGCACTTTTTGTGAAACAGAAGGCGTTTCGGGCGGTGTTTGGCACGCTTTTCGTCACGTCGTGTGCTTTTAATTTCCGCTCTCTCTTTTCCATTTTTTTTCTCAGGAAAAGTGGGCGTAAAGCCTTGCAGAATTTGGCTTTTGGGAGTAATTGCCACCGCGTTGCCGGCTTGCCACCTTCTCGCAAGTGGCATAGAAGTTTGGGACGCCGGGGTTATATTTCTCGTTCGTGGCAGGTGGCGATCGCACCACTACCGGTTAAAAGACGGTCGCTTGGGAGAGCGTATGCGGAACGGTAGATGGTACAAGGGCGGCGCTGACAGTGTACAGTACATCGTGAAAAATGGCAGATAACACATCCGAAAATACGAAGAAAGACTTAGAAAAGAAGACGTTGCGTCGTGTCTTGATCGCTGCTGCTGTCACTCAGGACGGTTTGAAGGGGCGAGCGGGGTTGCTCACGTCATTTGCAACCGCCGCGTCGCTTGACCTGACAAGTCAGCTCTGGATGAAGGACAGTTGTTTCCGCATTACACTGTTTTCGTCCTATTTATTATGGCGACAGTCCCCCCATTTTTCGTGGTG